ACATATCATGGTGGTATTTATAATGAAAGATGGAAGAACACGTGCAGGGACTGAGATTATGATGGCTGCTAAAACTGGTTACAGGGGTGACCATGGTTATAGGAAGCTTTAGATAATAAACAGGCATCATTATACTTTTCTCCAAACATCTGCTTGTAGGACATCAGATTAACTATGGTCAGTTCTGGCCCAATAGGAACTTGGAGAAAGAACAATATAGCTCTATATGGAAAACTTTCTTATAATAATAATAAATGTAAAAACATTTATAATAAATGGGTTGTATTTACAGATCTGTAATTTTCTATAAAAACATTTATATTGCATAATATATATTTTTTCATTTAATAGCTTTTTTGTCATTGGTATCCACTAAAGATGTATTATACTTTACAGATATTGATAAACACATATGTATACACTAAGAAATAAATAACTGATTACTTGATGGTAAAACCCTTCTATATGTTCCCAAAACAGAACTTATGATGAGATGTTTAAACTGTAAAAACTCAGTAAGTCATGAAAAAATTCCCTATGAGTCTGTTTCATTAGTAATGACCCATTTGTTTGGTATTAATATGAAGTTTTGAGTGTATGATAAAGAAACAACAAAGTGACAACTAAAACCTGTTCTCTCTCTCTTTCTCAGAATATTGAAATAAGTTCTGCCTTGAAAAAAACTTGTGTAGGTAGCTATACTTGTGACCAAATACAAGACCTTCTAAGCAAGTTATACAAGCTGTGTTATCATATACTTTATTTGGTCTGTTCCAACACTGTGAAATCAAACACAAAAATACATGGGTGACTTGTACTTCCCAAGCTTGGGGGGGCATCAGCAGGGCACAACCGGGGGTGTCCCCCAGCAGCCAGTTGCCGAGTGTGCAGAGCCAATTTCAGGGGGAGCGCTAGCACTCTCTGTGCTCCCCCTACCATTCGGAGCACTCACTGCCAGGGTGGGCACCAGCGGTGCACACCTCCTGCCATGGCCCCCCTACATGTCACCTATGCAACAATAGTAAGTAAAATAATTAACAAGAGATCTTTTATAACAACATTAAAAAGTCCAGTTGTGGCTACAGCTTTCTCTTGTTTGAAATGCAACCACAGGAACTGGCAAGGTAGTATCCACAGGCAAGTGGTAAGAGGACATGGTGGAGCACGTGCCTCCCTGAGATTGTCCCCCAAAAGTGCTGGGGAGCCTGCTGACACACTCCAACAAGACACCACTCAGGACGGGGCCAGGCGCAGAGAGGATCCCCGCCAGCCTGACTGTGTGGCTGGGGGCCGTGCGCTTCTTCTCTGGGGACCGTGCTCTGCTTCTCTACCCAGCCCCACCCTCCCTGACAGTGCTCTGGCGCCCGGAGCATCAGAGAGCACTCCAGCCAGCAGAGCATTTCCCTGCCTCTCTCCCCCTCCCTACTTGTAAAGCGCATGCTCTGATCCCCCAGCAGAGGTGCTGTTCCTGCTGCTGGGAGAAAGGTAAGCCTGGGGCTCATGCGGGGGTAGGGGGTGCCCAGGGAGGGGCGGCCCAGGAAGGGGCAGGGGGTTAGTGGTGTTCTGTGCCCCCTCCCCCCTGCCCAGCCCTGAAGTGGAAGGAGTGGATATGGGACTTTTGGCCCACCCCCAGTCCCACCCCCAAATTGTGCCCCCCCCAGACTCAGGAGACACCAGTCGCCCATGGTAGTATCACATATATCATACACTTATGTTCACTAGACAGAATCCTGGCCACACTGAAATCTATACTGATACTAATTTAATGAGCCAAGATTTCACCATGTTTTATGTAAATGTATGATCTTTCTGGAACAAGCAATTTTTGTCATTAAATATACGGAGGCAAATTCTTAGGTAGCTTAATTGAAGTGCTTTTACCACAGGTTATGCCATCTGAGAATCTGGCCCACATAATTTATGTCTTAATAAGATGACTGACTGTCAGTTTATCAATACATGCAGACTATGATATAGAACTGTTTTCATATATGACATTGTCTGAACGTGCAAGCTACCAGAGTTACCTTTTTTACTTCATACTTAATGGCTAGTTTTACACGACTCAGCGAAGCTCGATGCCTCTGCACTTCAACTGGCTCAGAATTCAAGTCCCCATTTAATATGGCCTCTACCTCTTCAGAGTCACGGCAGAGATCAAGGACACCAACCACAAAATCTTTGCATTGCATAGACAGCTTGCGATAATCATTCTAAAAAGAAAAAGACTAAAGATAATGGCCCTTGGCTCATATGATGAATATACTTCACAGTCACCAGTAAGAAAAAATGCACATTTATAAAGCACATTTTTTTAATTTAAAGAACTTTACAAATATTATGTTTATAGGAATAATTTCTCTCTCTGTATTAAAAGGCAAATACCTCTGCATTTGAACATGGCAATTGTTTAACAGTTTGAATATGACATCATAATACCATACAATAGTTTAGCAGAACAAGTCAACAGGAGTCCTGTGTCCAAATGGAATTTCTTGGGAAATGTTAAGTGATCAAAATGCAATTACCTACACTGAGAACTAGAACCCTTAAATTATTAACCTTACCTTAAAAGTGCCTTATGTATCCCAGGTGCCAGATGTAGTCATTTCATCAGGTACTTTCAGC